GCAGCTGTAACGAGGATATAAGAGTGTCCTACCTGATTTCTCAAGATTTCTCCTGAGGGAACCAACTAATGTTGTTTAGATTTAGAATGCAGAAGTCCAGGGCCTAGGATTCCTTTGGAAGACACTGGGGACAGGATAGACATTCAACTTTTTCAGATCAGGGTATGTACCTACAAACATTACTATCCAATTTTCAGTATCACAATGTGTGAGAGGTAATATTCTTCTTTCACCAGTATTTTTCATCAATCAGTTCCTATTCAGGCTGTGTCTCATGTAGTCAGTGTAAGTGTGGGACAAGGTGTCTTTATTACATGTGTGCTCAAACKGAGGTATCTTGTTGTTCAGTGAAATAATATGACAATGACTGAGGGTGGAATTTGTCTGGAAATGTGGCTGTCCACAAAAATCTGTCTTAATGCAAATTCGAASACTGTAATATTCTCAGCATCGGTATAGAGAATAGGGGCATTTTTTTCTTCTAATCTCTAAGAAAAAAAAATTTCTTCAGTTTTATGGATATGTTTTTCTACTCAGTTATTTTGTACTTCATCTGTATAAATTTTGTTTACTGATTTAACTGCATTACAGGCAGTATTTCAAAAACTAGTTTGTGTATTTTTCTTCACAAAAGCCACATAAGATAACTTTTCCCTGGAGAAGGTATATAGTAAGTCAATAAAATATGAGTAACTTGATTGCATCAGTCAAATGCACACTGATATTAAAGAGTTCAAATGCACACTCATTTCATGTATTTATGTTTTTATTCTTCAAAAAAACAAAAACTCAAATATTATTATTTTTATGCAAATGAGATACATTAATTCTCAGCCTTTAAAATTAATATTCATCATCCTTAAAAGTAAATTAATATTTTACAATTTTATAATGATATTTRAAACACTGAGGGAAGGGATCAATAACTCTATTTTTCTTTCAGTACTTTTTAATGCAGTCCATAGCTGTTATAATCATGACAGACATTACACCTGGAATATCACAATTGTTCCAATATCCTTAATTTTACAGAAAACTAGAAATAACAAAAATGGAGTGTAAATTTCTCCATTCATTTCAGTTATGCATTAAGTTAAAAGTTTAACTTTTAAAACTAGTACTGCTAATTATGGGAGGGACATGTCTAAGGGCTTCTTCCAAATTAAATCTAATTGCAGGAGGTCTGGGTAGATAAAATAAAGRATAGTGTTAAAGCATATAGAAGATTTGTATGTCAAGGCCTCAAGAAACRTATTGCAGGATCTATTGGGGAGGTCATAACTGCATTCATTGAGCTTGAAGACAGACCTAGCTTTCTTCAGTTTGGRAAATGTTAGGTCAGGTAACATGTAAAGGCTAAGAGATCATGAACAGTGACAAAGTATAGCTTTTACACTTGTGAGGTAGCTAAGATCATCATTGGGACCTGAAAATTCAGGCAGTGATGTGTTGAACTGTACACGTAAACAAAACCAAACTATTTTCTGTCTCYATGTCCACAAATTTGTCCTTTGTAACCCAGTACTGTAGTCCTAGACTTAATTAAAACAGTGATTAAAGTATGTGCAGCTGCACACTCAAGCATAAGCCATACACACTCTCCTTCACAACAGAAATGCATGCCTGTCATATTTTTGTAAACCTGTTGCTTTCCCTTAGAGGCAGGCAAGCCAGTGTTTCATCTTAATGATGGCACAGACTGGGATGAAACATCGTGTCTGGGTCCAAGAAGAGAGTGAGTAGGGATTTCTAGAAGTATAGAGTACATGCCTGGTTTCAAAGGAGCACAGCATTGTTCTCATCTTTAAGTACACTGTTGCCAGTGTCCAAAATCGTGATTGGAATTTTCAGTGTTTGCCATGTTGTACTTACTCTGTGAGTGTGRTTGATTGGTATTTGCAATGCCAGGAGCTGTTTTTTAGTTCTTCTTGCATGTGTGTTAATGGTTGTCTCCAAGCTACACCATTTGCTTAGTTGAGATCCTGTGCTGGTGCAGAAATAAGACACAGCATATTTGTGAATCTTTCTTGTACACTGACAGAAGTGGGAATTGTGTCAATAATTTCAGAGAGAAGGGAATTAGGACCTGTAGAAAGATCTATGTTTTATAGAATGCTAAATAAATGTCCTTAACAAGACAAAACAACTATTCTCTTATTTCTTTCACTACTTTTCTGTTTCCTTTGCCTTTGTCCCCAGCTTTTATSCTCTTATTTTCATAATCACAAGAAGCCAAATTAGTCTCAAGTGTAAGACTGCCAAACCAGCTTTGAATTTCTTTGACTGTTCTAACTCTTTATACTTTGAGCCCARCAATGAGAACCAGAGACTATCCAGCTCATACCAGCTGAGGTGTTGGTGGCTCATTAGTTTGGTAGATGCTTCTCCCACTCAGTCTCAAATGTTGGCACATTTTAGACACCTCTACTTCCATCATGGTAAGTATCCGTTCATTTACAAGTAAATTTTCTTTTTTTTTGCATTAGGTATGCTACAGGTCCTGTGCTTTGCTTCCAATAAAAACCACGTWCTCCCTCTTCAAGTAATGGTGCAGTCAAATCCTGAGAGTTTACAGGAGGGAAGGAACCCAGAAGTTAAAAAAATAATGCTCCACTCAGAGGAGTGAAGCAATAAAAGGAGGGTTCACGGCTGGCAAAATTGTGTTGAGAAAAGAAGGGAAGGATAAAAAAATTAATCCTCAGAGTATAAGAGTACAATTGAGGAATGAAAGTAGTTTCAAAGTGGCTGAAAAGTAGGGAGAAAGAAGTTAGACTAATGAAATGGTAAATCCACGTGGTCAAACTAGAAGATCACAGTCAAGATCAATGAAAACAAGTTACAAGCAGAAAAGTCAAAACACACAAAATATTCTTATCTGTAAGCCAGAACAAACAGTCGGGATAATGACTTGACATTCTTTTCAAAATTTTGAAAGAAAGAAAATGGCAACAGAAATAGTGAGGGGAACAATTTTAGGAACCGATARTGGGAATGAAAGTGGGAATGAAAGATAGTGGGAAAATTCTATCCAACAGTTTCTGTATAACAAAATTTTGCTCTTTTATAAGCATAAGCCAAGCAATATAAATTCTCCTTCAAACTAGAGCAAATTTCTGTTTTTCATTTATATGTCTTTGAATAGTGTATGTGGCATATATGATGACTTAATTTAAACTAATAATCTGTCTCTATGGATTGTAGTTCCTTAGTTCTTTAGTAGCCAGGYAGGTTCCAATGCAGTGTCTTGACAGAAATGTGGCAACTCCATGCACCACTCCTCTGGCAGAGGTGGAATAAAGTCTGAYGAGTCTCAAATTTGAACTGATGACAGAGCCGAGTATTGACAACCTCAGCAGGAGTTTGTGTTTCTGGAGCAGGACAATCTGATTCTGCAACCTTGCTATTCCCAGTATGTTTCTGTGTACACAGTAGCAACAAAATATAGGATTGCAGCACGCAGGTCACTCACCTGTCCTAATCCATGGAGCAGGAAAATCTCCTTATGCTGGAAAGCACCAAAAACACTTGGCAAAAATATTCATCTCAGCTGCCTGGGTTTCAGAGTCTTTGATGACACATGTGCCTAAATTCCCATTATGGTCACTGGAGCCTCCTCAGCTCACCCTRTGCATTTATTTTAGAAGATCTGAACATCTCTCTAGACAAAGTCTAGGCCATAAGCTTGGCTGCTGAAGACCTCAGTTGACTGCAAGAGGAGATCAAACACCTTGTTGATGTAAGAACATCCGTGTGTAGGAGTTTGGCTTTGCAGGCTAACATCCTGCTCCTTGTGCCATAGCCTGGGCAGAGCCCTGATGAGTCCCCTGCCAGCAGGATGGATGGATGCACATCAGGCCTGGCAGCTTGGGCTCCAGTTGCCACCCCAGCCCTGCCACCACAGTCCTGCCACCACTGTCCTGCCCCAGGAGGCTGCACAGCCCCCACCAGCAGGCTGACAAGCTTAGTGAAGTTTGTTCTTTTGCTGGGATCAGGTGTGTGATGTGTCTTGGCTAATGAATGCAGYTGGTACGATTTTGCCCAGGACTGCAGCTGTTATCCCTACTGAAGGCAATCACACTCTGTTCATAAGCACTGCATGCAAAACACCCAACTGTCATTCACTAGTTCTTCATAATTGCTGCTAAAAAAATAAACTCCGCCATTGGAGGGGTGGGGGAGGAGATCAGATTGCTTGTTCTTACAGGGACTAATTATAAAATCCATGACTATGTTATTCAACATTCTGTTGACTTTGTGTCTTTTGGCAATTTCCCTCCTGTATTTCCTGAATGTTTCCCTACAAACAAATTTTCTGAAAGGGTGAGGGCCTGATGCAAGGAGTTTGAAACTTAGTTGAGAAGGGAGAATTACTTTTTGTGTTTTTGTGATTCTATTTATTTGCTGCTGTATGTAGCAGGACCCCATCTTAAAAGATATTGTCTAACTTATAAAGCAAAACCAAATATTGCAGATCAAATTCCTGTTTTCATTTTAAATCCTCACCAAATTAAAAAAAAAAAAAAAGAGAAAGAGAGAAATGTATTATTGAGAAATCCTAAGTCCTGGCATTTTCCATGTCAAGCTGATCTAATGCAGACAGTACCAACTAAAGAGAGGATTTTTTGTTGTTTGCAATTTAAATACGATGAAGTTAATATTTTCTTCCCAAAGGTAATCTCTTTCTACAGTGATAGGATATCGTGTTTCTGATTTTATTTACAGAGATAGGTGGGTGGGTTGGATCACTAAAACTAAGATTTGGGTTAGGGTGTGGATTTATATCCTGCCCCTCCCTGTACAGACTGTGACTGCTTATGTCTGGACTCCTATTTTCAATTAATTTGCAGTAATTAAAGGGTGCTGTGTGGGATGGGGCTAAAGAGAAACACAATTAAAATGTAATGCTTCTACTTTGGTATCTGCATCCTTATTTATTTTAAGCCTTCTTCAATGCTCTGACGAGTTTAAGTCTTCCTGTATCACATACTGTGCAAGCAGAAATATGTGAGTGAACTGTTGCCAATGGCTCTGAGCAAGCATGGGGCATGTTTCAGATTACACTGTTTTCTTGTTCGGATCTGATCCCTTTGCTAGGGAGGCTGAGAAAGGCAGCTCCAGGGGATTTGCTTCCAGCAGCAGCAGCAGCAGCAGCACATGATCCCTCAATCGCGTGATTCTCACCACCGAGGACTAATGGGGAGGGTGAAGAAAAAGTGAATGCTGCCTTGGAGAAGCAACAGCATTTTCTTCTGCTCGTGGGGCCCCTCCACCAGCTGGACATTTCATGGCTTCTCCAAGGTTAGAAACCTACTGCTGCCCAAACCGGGATGCAGCTACACAGCTAGTGATGAGCTTCCAGCCTGAAGTCTTCTGCGGGGTCTGCATTGGCAGTGCCTCCATCAGTCTGCTCCTGACCATCCTGCAGCTCCTGCCGAAGAAGGGACAGAGCCCACGGAAGATGCCCAAAGCTTCGTCCTCTTCCACCATCCTTCTTCTTATCTCCATTTGTGACATCCTTGGAGCCTTAGGTAAGTGCCTGCTTGATGTCCCTTGCCATTGCTGTAACAGCCTCTTGTTGCTCTGAGGTACCACAAACAAATAAGCTGGTGAGTGGACAGCAGAGATTTCTGTGGGAAGCATGCTGTATGTGTTSCCAGGAAGATTTGGACTAAGTGAGATCAGGAAATTATGGACTTTTGGAGAGAAAGTTCTTGTTTAATAGTTATACTGTAGAAATGAAAGCTATTGATAAATCTACACCAAACTCTCTGCTTTAAAGCAAATTAAAATCTAGAATAGCAAATGGTTCTCAGAGTAAGGCATAAAATGGAAGTGAGGCAGCACATTGGAAACTAAATCTGACATTAAACACTTAGGCAATCCATAGGATTGCATTTGAAAACCACTATCCTGTATGTCCTTAAATCCTTTTGGACCAAGTGTGCCTCTTGTTCATGTGCCAGACACTTCTTTGGGCAYATCACATTGACAGCAAATGAGTTTGACTTGCAGCCACACACAGATTATGCTGGACACAGGCTTTTGAAATGTGACTAAAGCTACCTTATCAAGGACAACCTGCTGCCCAGACCCTGCCTGATAATCTGGGGAAATAAACCAGAGAGAATAAAACAGAATGCATGAGTCAAAATGAAATTATTGTGTCTTAAGCTGTCCCATCAGTCATTTGGTCATTTTTCCCATCAGTCATTTACTGCCAAATTAGGTATAAATTACCATGACACATGCTATCAAAATACAAGAGAAGTTTGTATCTACAGTAGCATTTCCCCCCCTCACATTAGGTAATAGAAGGAATGGTGTTTTCTCTCACTTGCTTCTTGTGTGTGTGTACCTGTGTATCTGTGGGTCTTTGTGTTTCAGATTTTTTCCCCTTTCTTATCCAGCCAGGTTCTCTCACAGGATCTAATAAATACTAGTATTAAAAYAAAGATTATAGGGGGAAATAAAGAGATATGGAAAATATATATGTGCATTCACTTGGAAAAGGTCCTTTCTATCAGATGAAGACAACAATAGATAGAGTTCTTTTTCTCCTTTCCTCTTTCACTAGCAGATTCAAACTAGTTATCCAGTGTTGTCTTTGTATTAGACTCACTTTGGTGGGTGGGAAACAGTTATTCTTGGTGGGAAACCTGGTCATTTTGTTCTGTTACCTGTTGGTGCTTTATTTCAAGCAAAGCCAGAAAACCTCACTAACAAACTCTCAGGTCGTTAACTCATTTTAAAAAATGGTACTGTTGTTACCTAATTCAGAAACCCTGCTTTGTTTAGTCCTATGACAGAAGAAAAGAGCTGCTTGTAAAACAAAGGCAGAGARAAGCAAAAAGTACCTTTTTTTCTGCAGTGGGGGATTATAGAGAAGTGAGTATCAGTGTACAGATATATGCTGGTAATAGTTTCTTAGTGTTTTATGTCAATCTGTTAAATGCTATCCAGTTTATTTCAGGGAAGCATGTCACAGCATCTCTAAGTAAGTGAGATTCTGATCTATGTAACATTTTAAGTCCCTGCAGCTTCCAACTCTTGGGGCTGCTTTCCCTGAATGATTACACTGACATTTAAATAGCACAGTTGTCCCTGTTGTGCTCCTCTGCAGCCGTTGCTTTCCTGTAGACGCAAAAAATCTGGGCTGCGATGTGAAATATGTGGCCAGGGAAAAGCATGTGACTCAAATCACACCAGCAGATTCAAAGCATTAATACATTTTTTTTCTTTAGGTGTGATCTTCAGGTCAAGTGTATGGCTGGGTTTTCCAGGCTTCATAGCTAACATTTCTGTGGTGAAYGGGACTGACGTGTGGCCTTCCACCTTCTGCGTGGGGAGCGCGGTAGGTACAGAGATCACCCCCCTTTCTCCTGCTCCCAATTAAGAGTCCCTCTGCGTGGGGAGTCTGAAAGGAAAACTATCGTGTCCAAAAGGAAATGTGGCTGTGAGTCAGAGCCTGGATATGATGGTTTCAGCCTCTGCCCCACCCCTGCAAGTGTGTTCATGCCTCCCTGTGAGAGCCTGGCTCAGGGTGGGCAGGATGATAGATGGTGCCATGGTGTGTTAAGGATATAGGGCAGCACGGTCAAACTGATCCCAGGAGTTCTGTGGTATTCACTCATCACAGTGTGCCAGGGGAGTGGAGTACACCAAAGTCAGGCACATGGAGCCGTAAGGGTGTAAGTAACCCCAAAAGGTCTGTGAACCCTTTGGGTTTGTGCTGGCACAGCCCCATGAACGCCCCAGCAGCTCTGTCACTGGCAGAATGAGGTTATCTGTACATGTTCTCTGTCAGAAACTGCAGCCTGTGTGGTGGCAGTGGGGCCACCTGAAACCAGCAACTTGGGTAGCTCAAATTAGCTTTTGTGGCATGAGAGTGAGTGTTTTAGACACAGAGGGACAGCAGGAAAAATATACTCAAACCCACAAATCTGCTGGCAGAAGGTCTGTCCCTGCCATGTAGGATTTCAGCTCAGATTGCTGGGCATTCAACGACTGCATCTGGCCAAGTACCTTCTGGATAATTAAGCATCTTCTGGATTAAAATGCAAGAATAAGAAGATGTAAATGCATTACAAAAGTACAGATTGAAACTCAGTTCTAAATTTAACAGTCAAAATACTGGGATATATTTTTGAGCTTACTGTACAAGAATAAAGGTCACAATTTTTACCAAAACATTGAAAATGAAAAATGAGACAGATCATCACTTTACCCAGATTCAATAGGATTCAGTRGGATCCCTAATGAATTAATGCATGAGCAATAGCAGTACTAGCTTTGCAATTCAAAGTTTACAGTGTAGAAGGGGATAGGCTGCATGTAAAGAAAATTACTCAGTAGTTTTAAAATAAAGCAATATGTACCAAATTGAACACACTGTGCTTTATATGCCTCTATAATGGCAGTTTCAAACATGATAGTTTTGTGACATGGACACAAATATAAATTGTATGCATCTATCAATTCTCAATTCTRTCACATAGGTTTAAGTTGTGCTTATTAGATGCAAATGTTTTTTTCTTTGAGAAAGAACCAACAGCCTCAATATCTTGCAGGAAGRATGTCCTATTCAAAACCCATTCCTTCTCATGTTTCACTTTCTGGCCCAYAATACATGAAAAAGTATTTTTAAATATGACCAGGTACTATATGCAGACTGTTTTTCATTTGAATCTYAGGTTAGATGCTGAGCAGCACAGCGGTCTACCAGGAAAATTCTGTAATTTGAGTAATTTTAAATTTAGATTAAATTGTATTGGAATGAAAACTAACCCTTCTTCCACTCATTTCCCCATACGTATTCTCATGTGAGTTAATAAAATGTTTCCGATTCTATTTTATTTTTCTTTTAGTACTATTGTTTTATTTCTCTTAACCACAAACCAATACAAACTCCAAATAGTGAAGCTTTCAAATTCCCCTTTGAATGGTTTGGAGGCACTCTTTCAGTCTCTGTAGCAAGATGTGTCATTTTGCAAAAAAGTAAGATATCATATCAAGCTTTGGGTTTTAAGTACATCTGATTTATATTATTTTTGCAGTCTTGTCTATGTTGGATTTTCCAGAAAGACTCTGCAGTTTATTTTTGTATTTGTGTGTGTGTGTATGTAGTAAATTGTGCATTTTTGAACTGCAGCAAATATGTAAATGTGATGATGAAGTTACATGCTGAATGTGATGGGTAGAATGTATTAGAAGGAGAGATTTTATTTTCTGCCTCCTGTGCACTAGGAAAATGTCAGTGTTTGAATTAAAGCCTGAATAATTTGTGCCACAAGTGGCTAGAGTTAGGGTCTACACCCATGGTGAGGGGAARTATTTCCCAGCTTGATTTGCCTTTTGGAGGAAAGAGAACTAGATCTCTATTCATTGGCATTTGGCTCAGTCACAAGTATGTTGATTTCCAGATGTAAAATGATGCTACTATGGAGCTGTGATAAAGGATATTCAGATAAGAGCTGAAAGATGGCTTGGAGGGAAAGTAACATGAATATTAAAACAGTCCCAGACTATTACAAAGAGCCAGTTCCTATGGGGAAGAAATGTGGAATTTATATACAATGGCAAAGAAAGGTCACTTATCTTATATAAGCTCATGGGAAAAATGCATAGGGTCAGCACAAGAATGCTGTGGAATTTAGCTTGACTTGAACCTGTTTCCTTTGGATTTTTATTGAAGTTATCAGTCAGGGAGTTCAGTAGGGATATTTTTCCAGAACGTGAGTGATTTTCTCATCAATGATCTTTTTTTCTTGATAATGATCTTGTGCATGGAGAATACACCCATCACATGCAGAAACCACAAATGCATAAGTAGACTGTGGTTATGACTGACCTCAGTTATATTTTTGTGCCTCAGCTACTGAGAAACAACTGAAATTTTAACCTAAAATTAAAACATCCTAGCTAGAAATTTCTTTGGGCTTCACTCATGATGTTCAGGTTACGAACTGAGAGGTAAAGGGCATGTTTTCTAAATCAGAAAATAAGCTGTGAAAGCAAATGCTGTTCAATTTACCTACAACTTGGCCCATAGGCTACAACCATGCTGTTCCCGTGATTTTGAATAAGATTTCATACTTCATAATCTCACCTGGAAAATACACACATTTAAGGAACAAATCACCAGGCCAGAGGTTTGAGTCCCTTCCCTGCCCCAGCAGCACTGGAGGAGCAGCTGTGACATTTGGCACTTCTTTCCCCTCTAGATGTGGATCCAGCTGTTATATAGCGCTGGCTTCTGGTGGTTGTTTTGCTATGCTGTTGATTCTTATTTGGTGGTGAGAAGATCAGCTGGACTGAGGTACCAGAGTTAAAGCTCTGAATTTGTTCTTTTCCTTCCAACACTGTATATCTCTGTTTGCAGCTGTCTGAGGGTGTAAGTGAGGCTTGCACAATCATCTGATGTTCGTATGGTTACCAGGTAATGATAGGAATGAGTGGTGTTCTAAGTGCTTAAATTGCCAGGGCCGTGCTCAGATATTGATTTATGTCTAACTTGAATTTAAATGTAACTGAATTCATTTAACCTTTGGAAAAATATGGAACAAATTGTGATCTATAAACTTTATGGCAGTGAGATTACAATTTTTGTCCTACTCTGTACCTGAAATTGGTTCTTGCAGCAAAAAAAAATAGTGTTATCCTGAAAAACCAAAAAAATCAGAGGGGAAAAGTGCTGCATTTCATACAGGTAATTTCACATAGTTAAATTCCTCTTTAAAATCTTTTTTCTCTCATTTTTTATTTTATCCATTTCTCACTGAGTGTAGTCATTACTGCTCTTCTGATCATATTTTTTAAGTCCCTCAGAAGAAAAATACATATTTACTATATATTTATCTGCAATGCCTGTGACAGAAGAACCTTAACCCTTTGGAAAGTAGCATGCTTTAATGCCAGACAGAAAATATAAGATGTCTCTAAGTTGATTGTTAGAAGAGCAAAATAACCTTCAGCTGCTACTGCTAAACTTGGAATTATGTGACTCTTCCCAGATGATACAGAGCAGTCAGGTACTAAGGATATGGTTCYTCTGGCAGATGTAACCAAAATGGACCTCTTTCAGTTAACTTTAGGCTGTTGAGGATAAACCTGATTTTGTAAAGTCCCATAGTTCTAGTCAAACATCTACGACCTGTCTCCTTCCCCCATCGCTGTTAACAAAAAAAAAGATGTGTATTTGGGCTTGATTCTAGGATCAGCAAAGGACATCCTACAGACACAGATCCGAATCCCCCTATGCAGTATGCAACTCCAAAAGTTAAACATAATTCTCTTCAAATTACAAGACAATGGCTTATTTGACTGTTCGGCTCCATTCTTAATCTGCTAATTTGCTCTCTGCAGGAGAAATGAAAGATTCATTCTTTCATGGAGGGGTTCCTTCTCAATAATTAGGGTAGGGAAAGAGCCTTGTCCTCTCCACCCTACAGGCTTGAGGGGACAGAGGTTCTATGTGCAAGCTTGAATAACTGCTTTGGTTCATTCTTTTTCCAAAGGACCCCCACCCCAATCTGCTTTCCTTTGTTTAGTGTACTGCTGGTGTTGTTTTGCACCATTTGYTATGTGTTAAGCTCTTTTTCAGTGAGGGTCCTATTTGTGCATTGCAATGTGGGCCRTGTAAGGTTTGATATCTTTARTGGTGCCTGTCCTGTTTGCTGCTCRCAGTACGATCGTGCTGTACCACATGATGACGTGGGGCCTTGCGGTGCTGCTCTGTGTGGAGGGGATTGCTCTGCTTTACTACCCTTCTCTCTCCAGGTAAGCAGGCTCTGGGAGCAGGCTGGGAAGTTGTGGCACTCTCTTGGCATTTGGATGTCTTTTGGTCAGCTTTAGAGACAGGTTCCAACAGCTGAGCATTCTGATCTTTGCCAGGGATGTCTCACTGAGTCAGTGAGTGTGCTGGAAATGCCTGCCTGGGCTTCAGGGGGCCCTGAAGAAATGTGCCAGGCAGTACAAGCACTTGGGCATGCTGTGATACAGCTTCTGCTATGAGCCACCATTCTCCCACTCCTGGTTTTAGCTTTCCTTTCAATTTGAGAAAAATGCACAGACAGTGCATGCTAAAAATCAGCTTTMTGTCCMATGTGAACTGGTGGTAAAGGTGTATGAATTAAAAGTTTTGCATCTTTTGCTTCATTCCTTTCTTTTTTTATTTTGAGTTAAAGGTGACATATRACAGCCAGAACTGTCAGCTGTGGGGAAAAAAAAATGCATAATCTTGTAATGATTTCTTCTCAGCTGTGAAAATGGCGTGGAACATGCAATCCCACATTACATCACAACCTATGCCCCACTCCTGCTAGTGCTCGTGGCCAACCCAATCCTGTTTAGGAGGACAGTATCAGCAGGTATGTTCCTAATGGCCAGCATCAGTCAGTCTGGGTTATTTAGCAACATAGCAGTRCTGTAGAAAGTCATGCCTTTGTACTCAGTGATGTGGGACAGCTCCTTGTTAAATCATAACGATACAGCAAGGGCTGGGAAGCAGTTGCCTATTGAAATGAAGACATCATTTTCATGGAGAATTTACCCTAGAGACACACTCTGATGACACWCTCAAGCTATTCTCTTATTAACCTCTACAGCAGATTGGCAAAGGTGTTTCCATGTTACTTGATTTAAAGCATTTGAGGCAAGGTACAGTGGATGTTTAACTCTATTTAGTTTTGGTACCAACCTCGATTTCAGAATGTGATTTATTCTAGCTGGTGAGATCTGAGAGTTGATTTTACTTCTTGGCAGCCCTAGAACAAAAAATGTAATGAAATGCGATCAGAATTTTGTCACAGGTGATTCTAAGATTATGAAACAAATGAGAATTGTACATAGCTCATATGGGATCTTGAAGTTCCAGTTTAATTTATTAGCCAGTGCTTGGAAGAAATGAGACTGAAAAAAAGCCATGGAATCATTAGCATATAATATGATCAGTGCTAGATGTTTGCAGTACCTGAATTTATCTACACATTGATTCTATAAAATATCTGGACAAAAATCTAGTATTCTCAGTTCAGTCTTTATCCCATCCATTCTCTGTCCCTCAGTCATGTTAATTTTCAAAGAAGCATCTGTTCTTTTAAAAAGTTGTTCCCATAAGAAATTGTTCATTATAAATTTGTTTGTGCATTTCTATATTCCTTGTGATATCTGAAAAGCATGTGGCATAAATTTTTTTTCTGACATTACATCTTCGAGTTTTAGAGGTGTAGCTAATGCTGTATCAATGACACAATGAAAAACAATGTGCATAATGGRATAGAAGATATTCTATTTTAGTCTAAGCATCACATAGTAACTATGTAATTATACCACACACTATATCGAAGGCACACACTACCTTTTGTTATAAAATAGAAGTATTTTGAGCATATTATTTAATATTTTTTGTGGAACTGAGAGAAGAAAAACCATCTAGTGAGATATTTTTCATTTTAGGAATCCAATTGTGTGTAATTATTTACCTTTAATATTAGGCTATATGTGAGATTTCTTATAAATGGTCCTTCCAGTTTATGAACTGCTGTTGGGGACAAATACATCCATTCCTTTGTTCCTTCTTTCAGGTCTCTATCTTCTGGATTTTTGTGCCTAAACTAACGAGATGTGCGTATATTAATGAATATAATTATATACTTTTCAGTTGCCTCCTTACTGAAAGGGAGACAAGGGATTTACACAGAGAATGAAAGACGTCTGGGGACAGAGATCCAGATGCGCTTCTTCAAAATTATGCTGGTGTTTGTTATTTGGTAAGAGGTGCATTGTTTTGTTTTAAACTGCCTTTTYCCCAGAGGGAGAGAGTCAGGGACAAGAGTAAAGACTGGTGGGTTGCTTCATTTGTTTGTCTTTATGCTTGGAAGGGAAGGCATCTAAGGAAGAAACAGTTCTAAACTCGTTCACAAAGGAGCTGAATCACTCCTGTAAMGTCACAAGGCTGTGAGGAAATGATAAAATGTTTAACCAACAGAAAAGCAAAAGCAACAAGAAACAATAGCAAAAAATTCCCAATAGGTTGGGCATAGACTGAAGCTGTCAGGTACAGCTCTGTGGGCTGATAAAGGGCTTTCTCTAATCAAGATTTCTCAGAGCCTCTTGTCACCAAACACATCATTGAAAACATGAAATAAATATGTTTTTAAATCTGACTTCATGGCTCTGACTATGATCACACAGTGCAGCCACCTCTGTGCTCTGCAGTTCTTGAGTGTCTGAAAAAGCCGCAGATGGTGACTGGAAACCAAGGAAATGCCAGAAGAGAAAACTCCATGTGATTGTGTGTGAAATTTCTGATTATTTAATATTTAAAAAATATTCTGTCTTCCTTCATGAAAAGAGCACTTTGGCGTGAGACAGAAAAGAGATACGGAGGAGATGGGTGGGACTATAGGAAATGGTCCTGGAGTAGTGAAATCAGTGGGACAAACTCAGCAGTCCCTACAGCTACTTCTTTATACACAGGTGTATTAATGCACATTACATTGCTTTAAAAGGCTGAGCAGGGAGAAAGGCTGCCTCTTTTATCTTGTCTTGGCTGCTGTCTACTGGAGTTCTCTGAAAGGAAATAATTTTCTTTTTTGGGGGAATAACTGAGTCTGCTTGGCTTGGAAGTGAAGTTTCCAATATGAAGGGTGGGGAGAGAAGGGAGTGAGAGACAGCAGCGAAGGATCCTGCAGCATGGCTTCCTGGAAATTGCTGAAATAATAAGGAGCAGAGATTCAGCCAAGCTCCCAGGGCCRTGGAAAGAGAGCCCAGAGGCACCACAGAACTGCATTGCAACCTAAGAAATGGTGGCCAGCTTGATTATCTGGGGACAAGCATGAAAAGAAAGGCCAGTTTCCCATGAACATTGTGGGGACATTTGTTTATTTCCATTCTGTCTCGTTCTAGGCTTTCCTATTAAAAAATAAAGTCACAGCTCTGGTTTAGGATTTTGTTCCAATAAAACATAAGCTTTAGAGTGTAAAAACATTCTYAAAGGTTACTGGAGGGAAAGATTGAGGCAGTTTCATCTCAGAAGGGTAGGGAAGATTCCCTTCCATCCCAGAAGTCAAATATGGACTTCTTTAGTCACAGACAGCTTGTTGGGGCAACATAGGGTAGAAGAGATGCCTACAGATTTGGGAGGGRAGAGCAGGAGGTTTTACATTGTGATAAATTTAATTGTGCAAAGGTCATATATAAAACCCTTTAGAAAGCATATCATGGATGCTGGTGGTTTCCTTTCTGAAGCTGCAGTACAGCTGTGCGGAAAGAAATATATAGAAAAACAAAGAAATGCTTTTCTCACTGTTTAGATGTCATAGGAAATTACAGCCATTTGCTACAACCTCTATTTAGTGTAGAACATACTCAGTTTCTTTCACTGAATGAGGCTTGATTATGATCTTCCTCATTTGGAAATAGATGCTACCTTTATTAAAAAAAAATGTTAGGATTTTCAAGGATTTAAAAGTCAATTTTGTGTAGCTTTGTAGATTTTTTTAATGGACATTTTGAAAGTCTGTAATCTAACCCTGAAATTTTAACTCCAGCTGGAAATCCTGAAGCCTTTTACAACAAAATGTGCRTATATTTGTGTGCCTTGTCTGTGAGCACAACTCTTCTAAGGCCCAAGTGAAAGAAGTTAGTGTGCACGATGTTCCCATTATGAATCACACTTGCTTTTATCTCAATTTTATTCTGCAACTGAATGTTCTGCAGCAAGTTAAAATTATCAGATTTTTTTTTTCCTTTTTTTCTTTTCTTGTATTGACTTCTTTGTCTAGGCCTGGGCAAGCAGGCAGGGTCTGGTCCTTRATCGTGATCTCAGAGACCTACTGGTCCCTTCAGGTTGAGATTTAATTAGAAATCCAACCATTGTTAGACTTGATAATCTTAGAGGTCTTTTCCAACTCTAATTATTCTATGATTAAAAAAAAATCTTATTGGGTTTACAATGAGTTTAATTTGTATAATTTGAAGGTAAAGCATGTTTTACATGCACATACATTTGTAACTGTCCTTTTCTCCTTTGCACCTCCCACAGCTGGTCATCCAACATCATCAATGAGACCCTTTTGTTCTATCTCGAAATGCAGCCAGATATCAAYGAAATGCCCCTGAAAAACATCAGAAGTGCTGCACTGATCACCTGGATTATAATGGTGGGTCAGCTGTGACATTGCTCAGCCTTAGAAATCCCTGCTCTAAGATTGGTGGAARAGCACCAGCACAATGTGTGGTTTATGATTTTGAGGGATATAAACACTTTGAAAATCAAGGAGGAAAAGGAGAAAGTAAGAGAAAGGAATGAGCAGTCAGTGGGAATGTTTTTTACATGTAAACTTTGCCAAAAATGTCCTAGGGGTCAACTTTTTCTTCAATTTACTGGGGTATGCATTCTCCCTGTGAGAGATCACTACCCATTTTAAGATCCAGAACAGATAACTACAATGATTTCTAGCCTAACCTTGCCAAACTCTGCCATAATGAAGATGCAAAATTTTAGCTCACAGTTTCTGAAGGTCTCTCAATTAAAAGGGCATTTCATGGTAATTCTCTGCTTACAATTAGGGTGGGGGGTTTACGTTATAAAGAATATAATTACATCTTATGACCTTTGGATCATTATTTGGGAAAAAAAGGTAAAAAATCTTTCACACAAGGAACCAAAAATATCTGTAAAGTTCTGGCCTCTTACTGTACCCTCTTTTCCCTATTTAAATATTTGACAAGGGATTTTTCAGCAGTGACAATGCAGGTTTGTTTTCCAAGAGCATTTATTCTGGAGCTATTAAATAGGTGTAAGGCCTGAGCATGTTTTGTGTAAATAAGGATTTGAGCAGTTTTGCATTGAAGGATTAAGTGATGCAGCTGATGTGACACAAGCTCCTCCAGTGACAAAGACTGAACACATTCATGTGACAGGGACCTTGCTCTTGCTCACCTGGAGAGCAAGAGGTCAGGCCTAGGGAGTCACCTAGGTTTCAAATTGGCAGTAATTTTTTTTTTCCTATGAGAAAAATAGAATCAGCTAAAGCTATTAATTTGTTAAGCATCTCATGGCATCGGGAACAGAGACAAACCTTTTGGTGATCACTTGGGATTTTCTTTTTCAGTGCCTCCCCCAATTTTTCCATCCCTCTTTGATGGACATTTTCACTGGCTCAAGAATCTAAAGCAATTCCAGACAGATAATTCCTGCTATTTTTAAAACTTGACTGACCATGCTATTGTCTCCTCTCATATATTTGACTTGTAATGAAAAATATACATGCTTTTGTGAATAAAAAATTCTAGAACTTGTAGGGCAAGTTAAAAACACACCAAGGGATTGACTGGCTAAACTTTATGCTAGAAAACCATTTGGTGCTCACTGCTTACTGTTATGGCCTCAGCATTTTGGAAAAAAAGATCATGGTATTTTTGTCTTATTTGTTTGTGTCTGCAATGGCCACAACATATATTTTTATTTGTATGCAAATAGCATATTTTAAAGACAGCAACCATTCAGTGAAAGGGAAGTTTTTAACAYATGCAAAGCATTTTGCTGGAGTTGWGGATGAAGCCTTCCTTGCTGGTCTAACTCCTGTTGCACTTCTCTTTCCTAGGGGGTTCTWAATCCCATGCAGGGCTTTCTCTTCACATTGGCTTTCTATGGCTGGACAGGWTGGAGAGTGGACCTGAAATGGCGAAAAAGAGAAATCCCCTGGGAATCCATGTCCTCATCAACTGCGGGGGAAAATGCCTACCCCTCACCAGTGAACTACCAAAGCAACATCCACGATTCCAAGAAGATCTCGACCACTGACAGCCAGCAGACCGATGAGGCCATAAGCATGTTGTCTGAAGGTAACACCAGCAGTGACGAGAGAATAACCAGAAGCTCTCCCATCTACCAGGGCTGGTAGTTTTTAAGTGCAGAGCTGGATCTAACTTTTCCTGGATCTAACTTTTCACGTTGTCAATACTCATAAAACCACGCCAATGTGTGAATCATTGCGTACTCTGGAATTAGGTTTGTGCTCAATGGCTTGATGTCATTTCCTGTAACTTGTGAGACCATGTGAGACAGAGAGATATGGTTTATGTCTTCGTTTGCCTTCTAGGAGACATGTAAACAGGCTTGAACCATGTAGAAAGGCTTGAACCTTTTTCACCAGGAGTATTTCTCTGCAAAGATATATGTTACATATGATTAATTTTCACTCATTTTGTTTTAATCTCTCCTGTAACCTCCTTATGGTAGAATAGTCTTTTGTTTAAATAAATGGACTATTAATATGTTGGGTTTTTAAATATGTTGCCTTGCTTGTCTTGCTCAGCATAAAATTCCTCATCCACCATTACAGTTCTAGGATTTCCGAGACACCATTTCCAGCCTTGACAGTCTGGTAAAGTATGRGTGACAGCAAACTCTGACCTAAGCACAGATATTTCCTGTTTGTGTAGGCTTTCACAGTCTTCTTTTAGCTTGTTTATGTGAATTTTTGGTGTGGTTTTATCTAGGGAGCTGAAAGGCTTTATTGAAAAAAAAAAAATTAAGCCCAGCATAGGCTCCACAAACACTTGAGAACAATGATACCAGTTCATGCCAGGTTCAAGAAAAAACAAACCTTCAAACTATTTTTTAATATGGATTCAGCATGATCTTTATGTGTACTTACCTAACAGGGCTGTGACTGCTGGGGCAGGTGCATCAAGAGACAACATTTGCAAAAAACACTTCAGTGCTCTGAGAGCTCATCATAAGCTCTTGCTCATCATAAGAGCAAGCAGAATCAGTAGTCTGTCCTTTTAGGAGTGTTCTATTTTATACCTTCATGTGCTGAATGAAAAGACCTTAGATCCATTTTCCTTATCTTCTCAGATACACACCTCTTTTGGTGCAGTGTCCTGGGTACCAATTTCCAAACAATTCCCCAGATTGGTTGAAAGTTAAGAAAAAAAGATGACCATGTCTCCCCTAAGCTTTCCACTTCATATCAAAAGTAGAAGTAAGATGGTTTGTCTGGTTGTGCTGGAAGTTGTTTGTGTGGTGGAAGCCACTAAAGCCTGAGTAATCCTGCTCCCTTTCTTCWGCATGTGACCAGGACTGGGCTTTAAATCCTGCTCACATCCACTTTGACTGAACTTCCTTGGCTGTTCCCACCTTTCTTTTCTAACACAGTTCAGTTTCAGCTATTGTAAAAAAGAACTAAAAAAATTTAAAATAATAATAATAAAAAWTAAAGACAGCTGAAATGTTAATGCAATAATAACGTGAAGCTTAAGTTCCTTGGTTACTCAGGGAAGTGCTGTGAAGGTTAGACATTCAGGTTCAGCAGAAAAAATACCAGAAAATATTGATTGGCTAATTYAAATAAATCATCTTCTTGAGGAAATTTTTTTAATACAAAGGTGTTAAACAATGATTGGATAACTATTTAGGCAGAACATTACAGAGCTGTGGTTGGTTTGTAGCAAGTCTTTTACATTGTGCCCTGTGGAAACCTTTGTGGCTTTATGGCTTTTTAGTGCTGCTCTCCTTGTCAGAATTACTGGCAGATGATCAGACCCTTTCTTTTCATCACAGTCATTTGTTACCTACCTAAGTATGAAGAGAAAGCACACAGACTTATGAGCAGATTATGATGAGCCTTTTGAAACAGACACCATTTTTTGGTGCAATACTCATCACAGCTGRGGTCAAAAGAGCAGGAAAAAGGTGGAGGTGGAATTGTTAGTAAACCTTTTCAGATGCTGTGGTGTGGGCCAAGCTGCAAAACCTTAAACCAAAATAAACAGTCTCTGGCTTCACAGGAATAATTACATGGCACGAAAGCACTTGGGACAGGCTGTAGCAAGAGGGTCTGTGAGATGRCTGCATGACTAATTCCTCCCTCCCTTCACTGCTCCAGGGTAAGCATGTGGGACAGGGACAGATGGGGTGCCCCAGTCTGGCCCCCCAAAGCTGTGAGCAGCCTCTGAGCAGTGCCAGGTGGCCACTGGTACTGGAGCACYCCTGTTCTGGGACAGCCTTCTGCAAGGGCCAGGCTTTGCTCCTCTCCTTTTCTTCTTTCAAGGTTGTCCTTGRTGTGAGTGTGGTGTATCTGTGTGTTAGTAATCTAGTGGGATGTCATCAGGAAAAACTGGGACCCGACTGAGAGCCTAAGAAAGAAAACTGACCTAATTTTGATGCACCTAGAAATTGRTATGGGGCATTGCAGAGCAAGCTGACAGTAGATTCTGTCTTATAAAAGAAGTGTTTGTGAGAAGAGTTTCCTTACCTGCTGTTCCCAGCCTCCAGTAGATGTACGGGAGATACTCCTTCACAGCTTGGATGACAATTGATTCTACTCATGTGTAACCAYGACCACATTTGATTTTACCTTACACTAAACTTGTTCTTGCCTCACTATTCCACAAATCAGGCAAAGCATTGCCTCCTTCAAGCAGTGCAGCAGATGCCCCTCCCTCCCCACCAGGAATATGCATTTGGGGTCCATCCATCTCCTGACTGTCCCTGCTCCCTGTTATTGCTGCATGCACAAGAAAGGGCAGCTGCAGGCCAGCAAAGCTTCAYTTGGAGAGAAACTGTGTCCTTTAAGGGCCAGCAAGGGCAAGCTACAGACACCACATCCTGGACAGCACAGCTGTGACACCAACCTGAGCACTGCCTTAAGAGTGGCACCACTGCTGAGAGACCCTTGTGCTTATCAGCACACAGAGAAACATCCCGGCTTCCATTCTGATGATGGTTTGTATCTGCTTAGCTGTCTTGAGGGCTGCCCTGGTGAATGTGGGAAGTGCTTGTCTCTGGCCTGCGTATTTGTTTTYTAAGATGTGTTTCAAACATGGCTTGGGTTAAGGAACGAGAGCTCTTGTCAATACTGAAGGGCACAGAAGCAGTCAGAGCCTTCTGCTCACACTGTGGGAGGGGCTCAATTCCACAGCCACATAGCTCTTCCTTTCCTGAGCAGGAGGGCAGCTGGAACAGCAAGGTGTGACTCAGAGAAGTAAACAGAAGTAAAACTGGATCTGATACTGTCTAATAAAATATATCGATCTTAAGTGTTGTTTCAACAGTACAGCAGTTGTCAACTATAGCTTCTTGTATTTTGGGTGCATTAGAGAGCAACAAAACCTTCCTGAATTGGTCAAAGGGGAAAAAAAGTAAATTAAAATAAAAAGGTAGTTGAATCCATGCACTGGAATGTAATCAGTGTGGTGGAATCACATAAAGAAGATATCTATMCATACAGGGCAGTATTGCCTTTATTTAAATCTCCTGGCCTCCCAGCCAGCTTATCAAACCCAACCACACACAGTAAGTGCTCTCTGTATTCACCAAAACTTATTTTTAAGCACTCAAAGATAAAATTAAAACTTCTAGGGAAAAGGTCCTTCTCATATCCTAGAATACTTTCTTAAACACTCCTGGTTGTTTTCCGTTGGTGGAAGAGGATATATGGAACTGTATTTGACCTGCCAGCTTCATGTTTAATTACTATTTTATTTGGCCAGATGTTCAGGCTAATTGCAAAGCTGAAATATGAGCACTAATAAAATAATAAACAACGTGAATAGGCAGATTGGTTGCATACCACAGCTCTGCATTTATGAGGTCCACCATATGTCTGAATAACAAAATCCTAACTACACCTCTCATTAAGACCTTCTTCTGGTAGACCAAACACATGGAGCTGGAAAGTGAAATGTTTAATGTGAGCCCCCCATCCCCTCAATTAGTATACTTTACTTATACTTCAGTATTTGCCTCTGTGTATACATGAAAAATTATCTGATCAAAAAAAAATTAAATTTTTTTGAATCTCAAGTTTGCAGTAACCCCAAAGGAAATCTCTAAACCACATGGTCGTTGACATAAGACAGTCAGATGATGTCTGGGTCATTGATTCTTTAAGGAACAGACATGTGTGGACATTGAAATTGGAAGCCGAAGAAGATGTAATCTTACAGAAAGAAAAACAGGGAGCACAGTCAAGTCCAGGGATGCAGGCATGAATCTATTTTCCTGGCTAATATTCCCTAGGATGTGCTGTGAGCTGCATTGGAAGTTGGTTCTCTCACTGAACCTTTCTAAGCAAAYTCTTAATCATGCAGGACAGTGAAGCCACAACGGGTTTCGGAGGCAAAGTTTTCAAAAGGCTGAGAAAATCTAAGCATGCAGCTGTAGGGAAACCATCCAGTGATGAAAGCCATGGAAGACTTCCTGCTGMCCCTGCAGCAGAAATCTCTTGGTTGCTGGGTCTCATCACATTTTGGGGCACCAAGCAGCTTTTGAAGCTTTCAGACTTCTCCCTGGAGGATATTTGTGTCCCTGCAAAGCCAGTGCCTGGAGCTGAGAGGGCTGGTGAGGTGGTGGCTCACTGTGGCCCTGGGCTGTGTCCTGTGTCATGTGGCAGTACCAAGGGCACCGTGGGTCTCTCTGTGCCCTGGGATGAAATCCAGGCAGYCTCTGCCTTCTCTTCCTTGGGTAGGAAATTGGGTCATAAGGGGTGGAGAAGAACCGTGAGGGTCTGAGATGTGYCCTGCCCTCTGCAGAGTGGCAGAACGACAACTCTGTTAATAAAGACAACCTCTGCTGATGAAGCCTTGTCCTATGCTMGTTTTTCATGAGCTTTTCCATAGCTGAGAGGGACTCAGAGGGCAAAAGGAGGCCGTGGATCCCTGCCTTCCAGCTGGCTCCACGGGGAYACCCACCCGGGTGTGCCTCTGTGCGCCTCCTGCAAAGCCTTGAAATGACAGAACCAAACACAYCGTGGGTGTGCCATGCAGATTGGAAAAAAAAACCCTTTTAAAGACACGGCTTTAAACAACGCACGGGGTTGATTTTGTGCAGTGTGAGGATTTTGTGCTGTGTTGTCTGGGGTGTCCTGGAGCATCCTCCCCCCTCAGAGGGCACCAGGGCTCAGGACAGCACAAACACTGTCAGCCA